AAATTAACTTTTAATGTTTTAATTATACTTAATAATTTTTGGTTTGATTTAAAAGCTGATGTGGACCAATTAAATCAAGTTCTCCGTCCTAATCATAACTTAACATTTTTTTATTTAATGAATATGCTGATGTGGAGTAATCAGATCGAGTTTTTTAATCTCATGTGGACTCCCTCAATGCACTATGTATTCAACTTTTATATATTACTAGGCTTTTAACTCGCGTTGTGCGCGAGTCAGTATAAATAATTTGGTTTAATTTTCTAGCTAATATTTTTTAAATTATAAATACTATAATATATTTATAGAAATTTTCTTTTATATAAAAAAAAATTAAAACATAATATGTAGTATTTCCTATTTTGTTTATAAAATTATAAATCTTATTAAGTAAAATCATAGTAATGACACCTAACGAATTATCCAACTTCGATGTACATATTTGATTTAGAAAATGATTTTCTTACTAAACTTTTGGTGTTTTGTTTTGTATCCTTAGGATTTCTATGGTTCTTTTTTTTAAAGGTTTGTATGTTTAAATATTTAGTTTCTTTACTAAATGTCTCACTAATGTTGTGTACATATACATATATAATATATGATATATGTTGATTCAGAATTACTTTTGTTAGTAAGCAACACTAATCGTGTAAAGCTGCTTTTTGCTTCTCCACCAGATCTTCTATGAATTTTAGGTTATAACTCTTTTCAGTTTATAAGATCTGTTTTATTTGCAGTCAACTATTTGCTAATATTTGTTTTTAAACATGTAAGATGATGTTGAGACTTCACATTATCACTGTTTTTTATATATCTTTTGTGTGTTTATTCATGTTTGATTTGAATATTTTATCTTCATATATTCTCATTTGAATTTGATTCATAACTTTGTCATATTATATTATTTAAATAAAATTTTAGAGGATGTTGTTCATGTGTTGTTCATGTTGACTAAATTATAAGCAGTAAATATGTATACAAATCAGACTTTATTACTTATTATATTTTGAATGTAAAGTTACTTGTGTAGTATTTTACTTTGTTAATTTTTCAACCCGATGCAACCAAGGTATTAATCTTTGTAAAATTAAATAATATGTGTGATTTAGAAACTTGTATAACCTATTAAAACTTTATATGGTTATTCATAGTCAACACCAATATTTTAGAAATCATGAATGTTTTTGGAACTATATTTCAAACTAATTTTCTTCTTAGATCTTGTTTTTTGTTATTTTAAATACCTTCGATGGTAATTTTTTATTTTATTTTAATTATCTAATTTTCTGCAGGTTTGATATACTTAAAACATATATATTTTTAATTAATCTCTATTGTTATTGATTTTTCAAATATGTAGCATATATATTAATTGAATATCTTTTACATAAATGCTTTTTCTTTGTTAAATTTACTTTTTAAATTAAATAAAATGCTATAACTGGTTATTCTAAATTTTAAGTGAACATCTCTCAAAAGCTTATACCATCATTTGCTTTTTTTAATTAATATTTATCTGGTAGTTAGCCTAAATATCAAGCTAATTTTACTTTATACGATTTTTTCCTTTGATAATTGACCTCTCTTGATATTGATTTTTATTTTATTTTAACACACCATTGTTTTTAAAATAATGATATTTTGAAGACATAATTCTTTTGTTAGTTAAGTATTTTTATATGAATTTTTTTAAGTAGTGCGTCAGATATCAAGACAATATATTAAGTGTTTTTTTTAAAGATAATATTTGTAAAACTTAATTTTCGTTTTAGTTTTTTAGTTAATGAATTTCTTTTGATTTCTTAAATAATTAGCTTAAATATTTATATTATTTTTGTTAGTTAAATTTTTTAGTATTATTTAAGTTTTTATATTCTCTTACTTATTCTGTTTATATTGATTTTGTTAAATAAATAACATAGATATTAAGTTAATATCTTCTCTTTTTGTTAATTTAACTTTCTCGATATGGACTTTCATTTTAATTATATTGACATGTTGTAAGAAATAATTTTTGTTTTGGTTTTGTTAGTTAAACATTTTTTATATTGCTTTCTTCAGTAATTATCATAAATTATCATTTTTGGTTTGTTAAGATTTTTATGTTATTTTTTTAAATATTTCCTCAAAAATTATTAGTTTTAGATGACTTTCTTTTTTGATAATTTAAGATGACTATTTTTTTGGTAGTATTAATATTTTTAAATAACAATTTTATATGTTTATATGAAAATTTAATCTTAATATTTTTCTAAATAAATTGCTCATTTAAAATATATATGCTAAATTTTTTTTTAATTTAAATTTTTCATTATTGATTTACATATTTGTTTTTGTTAGTTTAGTGTTTGTGATAATGAGTTTCTATTTTATTTTCACAATATATTTAGACTTTTGACATCAATTTATTTTAATGAGTTAAAAAAATTATCTTAATTTTTCATTCTATTGTTATAATTTTATATTTTTGTATGTTTTAATTTATTTAAATTATTAATAATATTTTTTATTTTTTATGTTTAATGAAATACGCTGATATAGACTAATCAGATTGAGTATATATGTCATATGTGGACGTTCTTATTGGCATAAGACATCAACACGGACCACAACTAATATATTTTAAGTTAGCAGTTCAGATTTTAATTGTTTGTCGTGATTAAAATTTTAAAATAATTTAATTATAGTTTTAAATACAGTTTTTAATAATTTTGTTCAATATATATGATTTTTCCTTCATAATCTATTTATATGTTAATTTACCTTTTTATTGTTAATAGAAATATAAGATCTATTTTCAAAACTCTTTTTATTAATAACTAACTTAAAATTTAGAAACTTTCCTAATAACAACAAAAAACAAAATTAATTAAAATTTAGAAATTTTTCTTATAACAATTAAAATGAATTAATTAATTTTAATATACAATATATAATTAACTAAAAATAATGATGATGTGTACCAATAAAATTGAATCTTTAAATCCTATGTGGACACCCTTAGAGGCATTTAGCATCAACTTTTATTAGTAACTAGGTGGTTGGCCCGCACATATATGTGCGGGCATAAGAAATTTAATAAAAATCAATTAATAATAATATATTATTTATAATAAATAAATGATTGATCGGTTTAGTAATATGTTTATAAAAAAATTTAATTTGTAAAAGAAATGATTTAATAGATTTAAAAAATTGCATATAGCAAGAAAATAAAGTATACATAAAACTTAAAATACTTTAAAATCCTGTAAAATAAAATAAAATTATTCTTTCTTATTCTTTATTTTTTATTTTTATTCATATTTTACATCTTTTTATAGTTTTTTTAATCTCATTCTGTCATATTTTGTCTTATTTCTGATTCGTAATTCTCACTATATAATTAGAATATATTAACATAAATTATAAACTCTTGTTATTTATTTATAGCGGGACAAAATAAGATAATAATAAAAGTGAATAAATTCTCCTTCTAAAAACTGAATCCGTAAATTTCACACAAACACTTGAACTTGTAAATATTTTACTAAAAATTTATTTAATAATAAGATTCCAAAAGTTTCCATCAAAAACCGATTTCGCAAATTTTCTGCGAAAAACATAAATTGGTAACTTTCGCACCAAAAAAAATTATATTAAAAATATGATCCAAAAATATTTTATCAAAATTTTGATTTTGTGAATTTTCCGCGAAAAAGTGAATCCATAAAAAACAATAATACCAAAAACTTTACATTAAAAATGTGATTCCCAAAACTACCAGGCAAAATTTTGATTTCATGAATTTTCCGCCAAATAAGTGAAACCGTAAATATTCCGCCAAAAACTTACTTAAAAATATAATTTCAAAAAACTTCCGTCAAAACCCGATTTCAGAAATTTTTCGCCAAAAACATGAAATTGTAACTTTCCCATCAAAACATTTATATTAGTATATTTTAATTTGATTTCATGACTTTTTGTCAAGTATTATGAATCCACAAATTTTATGCCAAAATGTGATATCAAAAAATTTCCATCTGAATGTGTTGCCACAAATTTTTCGCTACATATTTTGAAATCCGTAATTTTTTCTGACATTTTTTTTTGTGTTGAAATATGATTTCAAATCTATTTGAAAAATTATAATTTTATCAGTTTTTTCAAAAAATTGAATACTTACATTTTTTTATCAAAATTTTAACATGAAATTTTATTTATAGATTAAATAATGTCATGTCACAAGCCATTTGTAATAAAATTGACATGTCACAATTACATCATTATTACACATTATCATTTCCATGTCACATTAAAATTGTCCACACTAAACATATTAACCAATCAAATTAAAACAAATCAGCAATTTTCATTAAACTACATTCTCAATTAATATATAGAGGATAGAAAAATAAGATCTATTTTCAAAACTATTTTTTATTAATAACTAACTTAAAATTTAGAAACTTTCTTAATAACAACAAAAACAAAATTAATTAAAATTTCTAAAATTTAAAAAAATTTCTTATAACAATTAAAACAAATTAATTAATTTTAATATACAATATATAATTAACTAAAAATATTGTAATGTGTATTAATAGAATTGAATCTTTAAATCATATGTGAACGTCCTTATAAGCATCAACTTTTATTAGTAATACATAGATATACGATGATAGGATGATGATGATGATTTACCCAGATCCCGCTTCAGTGTGACATTAATTTGGTTTATTCCGGTTCAGGATAATCCCATTGGTTTTTTTCGAGGATGAGATTGAGAACCAAATCCAATCAACCCTTAAAAGGCCAGATGAAAGTAGAAAGAGAAAACTCGCCTTCAATCTCTGATTGCTTCTCTCTCTCGATCAAACTTGGATATTGAACCAGTTTCGCTTGAGAAAAGTTTGATCCTTTTGTGGCTTTCGATTCTTTGCGTCTGTCTTGTGGATTAAGGAAGCGATTGGATTGGTGCGAAACAGCTTTTAGGGTTTTGTGTTAGGGGTGGAAGAACAATGTCGTCTTCTTCGGTAATTACACCAGAAGACGTGCTTGAATCTCTTATGAACGATGGAACCATCGATGCTCTCCGATTGAAGATCGTCAATCAGCTCAAAGCCAATGTAATCTCATTCATTCTCTCCAAAAAAGCCTAATTTTAGCAAAAAGACAAATTTTATTATCTGGGTTTAGCTGAGTTCTTTGATTTGGATTGATTCGTTAGTCTATAAAGGATTTCGGGCTCTTCTTTTTGTAATGTGAGTACGTATATCACTGATTCAGATGATAAGCTACAGCATTGGAACTTGTCACTAGAAGTAATGAATTTGAGAAAAATGTTTGTTATTGTGATTGTGATTTTAGCACAAGGGCAATTTTTTTTGTTTTCTGGGTTTAGTTTAGTTCTTTTGGATTTGATTTGTTAGTTTATAGAGGATTTGGGTATTTTCTTTTGTGATGCCAGTACCTGATTCTGATCATAAGCTACGACATTGGAGCTTGTCATTAGAAGCAATACATTTGAGTAAATGTTTGTTATTGTGAATTTAGCAAAAAGACAAAAAAAATTTGTTATCTGTGTTTAGTTTACTTCTTGGATTTGGTTTCATTCGTTAGTTTCTAGAGGATTTCGGGATTTTATTTTTCTGATTCCAGTACCATATCACTGATTCAGATCATAAGCTACGAGATTGGAACTTTTCATTAGAAGTATAATGAATTTGAGTGAATATTGTTGTGATTGTAACAGGAAGAGTTAAAGAGCACAACCATTAAAATGGCAGAGGAGAGTAAAGTTCTTAACACACCTGGTGCTGAGAAACAGACTAAACGAGAACTCTTTGATGCTCTTCGCCAAGAACTCGAGTAAGATCTCGCCATTGATTCTGGTTGTATAGAAAAAAAATGTTTTCTCTGTTGTGTCTGTTTACTTGCAAACTTATACATCTTTCAACGATTTATGGATATCGGTCACATTCTTGGCTACTTTTAGAGCACATTGTGTAGTATAGACCATTCATTATAGGTAATGTTCTCAGTTCCTCGAAGTTGCGTGTATGCATACAGACATACGCAGTCTTTTGTTCTGTACTATTGATCTTGTTCACTCTTGTTTTCGTGTTTTATAAAGAAACGTGATCATAGAGTGCTTATGAGGTTTGTTATTGCTTTTGTGAGCAGAGGTCCAGTGCTAGACAAGGCATCAAAATCAGTTTGGGAATTGATTCTAGAGAAGGATGGGTTAGGGAAAGAGATAAATGAAACTGTAGAACGCGTCTTTTGTCGTCTAAGCGGGCAAGAACCGCCCTTGTTTTCTTCATCAAACGTGGAAAACCCTAAGGAGGTAGTGAAAGAGACAGAGACTGAGACGGAGACAAAGGAGAATGATAGCTCAAAGAGGACACCAAAGAAAAGAAGTCTTAGTGAGGTGAATCCTTCTGAAGGTGTTGATGAAGTTGCAACAACGAAGAAGAAGCAAGGAGATTCATCTATTTTAACTTTAGAGTCTGGGAAAACGCCTTGAGCCTGGTATGAGATGTTAATCATGTTCTGCTATTTTTTTCGCTTGGTTCATTCTTCATCAAGAAGTGTCAGTAATTAAGATCCTAAACTTTTTTTATGAGATATCTTCAGTAGCAGTATACGTTTGAATGAAAAGCCTACTCAAAGAAGTGTCAGTGATTAAGATCCTCCATTCCTCAGCGATGGTTGAAATGTAATCTCGATAGTAATTTTCGCATAGGATCGATTTACACACAAGTTATGCTGGATATTAATGGATAGTACAGTGGGGCATATCAGATCAAGATCCGCAAAACTCAGATATGTTACTACTTCACTACCAAGCTGAAGCAATCAGATTCTTTTATGTTTTGCAGTTAGTGTGGTCTTAAGGATGGCATAATGTGTGGTTCAAACTTCGAAGGAGACAGTTTTGAACTAACAAATTTGATAAATCGAACTGAAGAGAACAAAAATTGGAAACTTGTTGATTGCTATTCGACATCGGATGTCTAAGCTTCTGGACTGCTCGTTGGATCAAGTAAACAAGAAAAGAAATCGTCTAATTGCCGTATTTTGTGAAAGAGGTCGTATGAAAACGACATTATTTTATTTCTTATAGTTCTCCACCTATCTAGTTTGTTAACTCCTTATCCTTCCTATTACGTTTTGATCCGCCCATTCAGCAAAATTATTTATTACTCTATATTTATACTTTATAATTTTATATATTTTTATTATTATTATATTTATTTTAGTTTATTTTATTTTGTTTTGTAGTTGTTAATTATAAATTTTATTTTAATTTATTTATTGTCTTAGAATATGTAAACTTATTGTACAAAATATTTTATAATATAAATTAATATAAATTTATTATTAATTTAAAAACATCTATATTTATACGCTATCATCTTAACTATTATTTGGGAAGCATATATAATGAAAAAATCTGATGTGTCATCACTTTAACAAAAGTTAGTGTAAATTAATGGTGACATGAAAATGTAACATGGTAAATGTCTTAAAAAATTATAAATTTAACATAAAGATACTAGATTACAACACTAAAAATTATAAATTTAAATTAACAGAAAATAATAATTACTATGATTTTAATTTATTTTTACATATATTCATAATAGATTGCATAAAATATGATTACAAAAATTTTACAACCAATATATATTTTATATTTTTACATAGAAAAATAATAATATATTATCTAATAAGATAGTATATACGCTATATATTAATAATGTTGGAAGTATGACATATTATTATTTGTATATAATTTTTTTAATATTTATATATTATTGTTTTGTGGAATTTGCGTAGCTTACATTGCCATCTCATTTTATCTCTTATTCTTTTTTTAAATAAATTAAAAATTTATATTATACTCATTAAAAATTTATATTATACTCGTTGTAGATCGAGAATTTGAGATCAGAAATAAAACGCAATGTAACTAGATGAAAAAAAATTATATATAAGCAAAAAAAAATATGAATAAGAAGTAGAAGTAAAAATAAAAATAAATTTCTGTCGTTTTGTTTTTCTGTAACACTCTCAAACTTTGTTTTACGGAGTCATTTAAAAATCTTAAGAAATAAATTTTATAATAAACGCATGTCTCAAATTTTATAATGAACACATGCGTGCAGACCAACTATAAGAAATTTTTTTTTTTCATCAAACCAATTCCTCAATATTGGACAAAGAGATAAGCGTAAAGCTAATCTAGAATTTTCACAAATTTAATAACAAATATTTATTATTAATTTTATTTGATAAAAATGAACATATGAGTAAGAAGTAGAAGTAAAAGTAAAAATGAATCTCTACGACTTTGGTTTTCTGTAAAAATTTCAGGCTATGTCTTTGGTTGAAAGCATCTCTAACCCACCTTTATTTTAAATCTTCTAATTTAGAGGAAAATTAGCAATGTTATTTTTTCTTCTATAATTGGAGCACAAAACAACAATCTTTCTTTTTCCTTTAAAATAGAAATAGGTTGGAGAGAAATCTACCTATATTTTAAAAGAAAAAATAAAAAAATACATTGGAGATGATTTTAATTAATGCTTAATATATTATTCAATGTTAAAAAAATACTAGTCAAAGAAGACAAAAAAAAATTGATCGACTTTATGTTTCTGAAATATTTAAAACTATTATCTTACACATACTAATTCTTTCATGCATATATTTTTTTAATATCTTAAAATATTATTTTATGAATCAAGTTTTGTATATGTTATGATCCATTTATATAAGATTAACACATATATCAAAGTTAGGAACAGAAAAACTCTTTTTTAATATAAATATTAAATATTAAATATATTATTTTACACTTTCAACCATACATATATAATTTTAGGATCCGACTGATTTAAATGCTGCGGTTACAGAGAGTTTGTGGAAGCGAGCGATTGCGGGCTATAAAATATTGACGAAGAGATGAGCGGAGAGCTACTGGAAAATTTTATAAAATAAGAATTCACAAATTTTATAATAAATTTTTTATTCAGAAACCATATAAAATAAAAAAAATTTGATTAATTACAAAACGATAGAAATGGTGTTCGTGATTATTGTTAAACGCCAAAAATTATATCGTGTAAAATCATAACGTTTGCAGAAAATATCAGAAAAACTACCCAACACCTAAATATTACATTTCACTTATTTATAACTTATACCTATATGCATAAATATATATTTTTTATATAAAAAAATCAATCATACATTATAAAAATATATATATTATAAAACATATATTTTGTTAACACATAAAGGCCATACTTTGATTTTTTCAGAAATATACGTGTAGATATAAATATTAATTGTGTAAAAATCAAATTCGCATGCAAACTTGTCATGCATACATTTTCTTAATTTCGATTATAGTCAAATTTTAATTTTAGTTATTAGCCAATTTATATTTATTAAAAAATCTCTATATGTCTTAAGAGCGGTGAGGTGGTTGGTACGCACGGATATTAATTCTTAAAAAATGTGTTCTATACTTATGCACTGCCATAAGGGCGTGATTGGTAAAGTGGGAAGGAGAGGAGTAGCTGACAGCAGTTTCAGGGGGAGCTGGAGTGGGAGTGCAGAGCTGAGAGCTAAAGATGAGAGTTGAAGCGGAGAGCATAATTGTTTTTAAAAATACTATTTTTTGTAAAATACTATTAAAAGTTATTAATTTAAATAAAAATACTGATGATAATAATAAAAATTTAAATAATATTTTAAAATTCTCTAAAACATAAAATAATATATCTTCGAGCTTTCCATCACCTGTAGGTACATAAGCTCTTCTTTGAGTATCTTCATTATTATCATCATCATCTGAATCAGACAATTCAAGCACTTTATTTTCCATTTGTTCATAATCTTCAAAATCTTCATCAATATTCTTTGATTTTCGCATGAAGTTATTTAATGTCATTGTTGCTACGACGATCTTGCATTGCGTCTATAGATCATAGCGTGCTGGATTTCTGATAATAGCAATTTTTTCTTTCCACACCCCAAAAGTTTGCTCAATCACAGACCACAGAGAAGAATGGCGTTTATTAAACTTTTCAGACTCATTTTTCGGCGAACCTCCTTGCCATTGCCTTTGATTTGCCATCTTATCACTGTATCAGAACCAATAACAACTATAAATATAAATGTATATGGTATGATTATAATAAGAACTATTAACAAAATAACAAATTTATATGATAATTTTAGAAGTGAATAAAAAGTAGTAACAAGGAACAAGAGTTACGATCATTTGAAAACACTTAACTATAAACATAATTTTGGAAACAAACAAATTCATCTTTTTCTCTTTTGCATAAAATACTTTTGTAATTATATTTTTGTGGAAAACTAGTTTAACGCTAAAAAATAAAATTGTAAGAGAAGTTAAAAAAGCTTACAAAAGTTGAAGAACTCAATTATGAAAGTGATGAACTTTACGATGAGATTATTTAATTTATAAGGATTTATTTAGGTTATTAGTTATTTATCAAAAGATATTCTATATAAATTATAGATTTTATTGAATAAAATATTTAACAACAGATTTTCTAACAGAAATCTATTATTTAAATTGTAATGCATATCTTTGACCAAGAAAAAATATTGTTATGCATACCCAAAAATAAACCATTGAGATTAATCGTTTAAAAATAATAATTTTTAATTAATATTATTATTCAGAAAATGTTGAGTATCCAAAACTTCTCATTTATCTCCGTTATCACACACCACCATTTAGAGCAGTTACAATGTCTAAACCACACATGTGAGATATACTTTTTTTGCTTGATTGGCGTTGACTCAGCGATGTTACACCATAACGTTGGAATAAACGTGATAACAATCACGCCTTCACACTATTTATATCTCTATTCAATCGGTTTCTACTTTTTTATATTCCTTGTTTCCACTAAAATCAACAATATGAATTTACCATCAATTTCACCCAATTTAAATCGACTAACTTCTTAATTTTTCATAAATTCTGAAAAATCCTAATTCACTTTGAAGCACAGATAGTCTTGCGTTTATTTTTTCCCCTCTTTCATATATATCAAGTTTATTTCTATGCTACATGAGTAAATACTTAAGTCTTATTTATTAATATAAAACCTTCATTCATTTATCACAGTAAAGTAGATATGAATAAAACTTTGTTTTATGTATAAATCTTTTCGAGTTTTTTTTATAGTTTGATAACTCGGCAATTTTTTTTGTCATCCTTTCGTATTTGTTCGCCTTCAAACTTTTTCACATTTTCTTTTTTCATATTCAAAATTTCTATTTTGTAGAGAATTTGTAGTTTTTATGGTTTGTAAAATAAGTATTTGTTTTCTATAAATGATTTTACTTAAATTTACTGTATAAATCTTTCCAAGCTTTAACTTTTTTTTGTAGGTTTGATAATTATTCTCCAAAATATTTTTCATCACCTTTTATATTTGTTCATCTTCCAACTCTTTCGATATTTTCTTTCAA